TGAGGAGCAAGGACAGCATCGGAAGGCTCCTCCAGCAAGGCGGCACGGGGGGCAGGAGTGCCCGGCTGAGTGGGTATCGCTGCCTTCAGCGGAGAATACTCCAGCTGACCTCCGTTAGCAGCCGCCTGCTCTAGGATATTTGGAGCAGATCCTGGGAGCGTCGGAGCTGAGAACTCTGCCTGGCTCAGCAAGCCGGCAGACGATGCTGTGGCAGGAACTTGCGCCAGGGACGGAGAGGCTCCCATGGGACTGTCACATACACCTGCTTGCAGGGGAAGCTGCTGACCAGGTAATACACCGGGCAGATCCGTCACCGCCGAGCTCACTTGCTGATCATCCGACTGCTCCAGGTCTAGAAAGCACGCAAACATCAGGTTAACTTCTGCATGAGCCGCACAGAACGAAAGTCACTGCAAAGCTTCCTGGTTAGCTGCAGCGATAACCACATCTAGCTGTAACCCATTAGTGCCTCCCGTCAGAAAATAACTGTTACACAACTCAAATTAGAACCTAAAATTACACATCATGCAAAAACATTTCACTGAAAAGACACTATTTATGAAAAGAGCAGTGACTAGAGCTTCAGCTACCTTACAGCTTAAGGCAAAGTTAAAATACTGAGACGGTCCTGACACTCAAATAAACATTCCCAATTTGGTTCAATATCAGCAACACACTTAAAATGCACGACTTAAGAAAATTCATCATTTTCATCCTCCAACTAAATGAAATGAAGCAACCACAACTAAGTCAGGTGAGAACAGAAGAGATACGACGCAGCAGCTTCAGAGAAGATGACGTGGTAAGTTTGTAAATACCTGGCCCTTCAGCCTGCTGTGTACTCTGAGGGACCGGCGGAGAAAACTCTGGTGCATCAGTAGCAGGGTTTTCCACAACGGGACATATAATAAACCACCTTTTTCCAGTATGCAAAACTAGAGATGAAAAGGAAATATAAAGTAAACACAGTAGTTTCCGTTCATTCCAGATCATCTGTCAAAACCTAGTCTTAATTTCCATATTTAGAAAGAAAATCAGATCCTCTGCAGTATTAGCCAAGATTAAATCAATGGCTCCTAATTTGATTTTCATCCCTCCTGGAAGGGAGACAATGATGCCTCCCGATTCTGCCACATATTTTAAAAATTTATTTCAAAATTTATTTTCAAGTGTTCATACTTTTAGAAGGGTAATAGTTACATACATGAAAATTCTATTAAACAGCACTGTGGACAGTTTTCCCACAATAAAAAAATTTGTTAGTTTTGTAGAGTTTATCCAGTTTAACTTCTCCATGTTGGAAGTTTTCTAGTTAGTATTTCCTTCCACATCTTATCTCAAAGCCTGGCATATATAAATGGCAAACCAGAACTATGCACACTTTGTCACATTTCTATTTCTACTAAAGAAAGTTATGTTAAAAAATGTGTCCTGAGAAAATTCTATGATATTTACAGGCAAAAAATAAACCAGATCTTTTGAGCAGAAAGTCCAGTTTGGAGCATTCCCAGTTTCTGCACTTTAACATCCAGGTCAGCCCTGCAATCTTCCCGGTTGCTAACAGCAGGGACCAGGCTTATATCCATATTTCTAGCTATATTTCCAGCCACCACTTACTGGAGATTTCTGCCTGAATCTAGCAAACTTCTGCATAAACTCAGCACTGCCTTAAAGCTTGCGATTAAGTTTGTATTCAGAGGCACATTTACCATTCTGTTGATACACGGTTGTCTTCATTTGAGACTGCCGCTTCTCCTGTTAAAAAAAGAAAAAGAAAATAATAGAAGAACTAGCTGTCTCGCATCAATGAAGAGAAGCATTGCTCCAAGGAGGACTCATATTGTAAACCTTAATGGAGTAAAAGCATTATTTTTCCAGCTAAAAACCTACTTTTTTTCTTTTTTTAACACAGGATGTAAAACTAATTTACAGTAAGTGGCTGTTAAAAAAAAAGGAATCAAACTAGAAATCTTTATTTAACATTTCTTACCTCATTCATTTCCAGTCTATCGGTATCTTGTTGGGGACTCGTTCCCTGATCAGAACTTCGCTCTCCTTCTGTATCTTCACTGAGCATATCTTCTGCTTTATCAATAATATCTTTCATTTGTTCAATAAACGTCTCTTTTTCACTCTGCAGTATGAATTCATTCTCTACCTATAAGGCCACATCAAAATAAAGAGGAAAACAGTACCATTTTGGTTAATGCCCCGTTCCACAGCTACCAGACAGCTCGGTCAATAAGCACACAGGAGAATAAGTTGGCTGAAGCCACTTGGTGCATTAAGAGTCTGCAGGCAACCACATCACCACGTCTTACCATGTAAGTAGCGATTTCCTCTGGTGCGTCACCATCCAAATCAAACTTAAAAGTCACCATTTTGTGATTGTGTGTTTCCAGCTGGCACTCCACCATCTTATCGCCCGTGTTACAAACCTGCAGGCAAAGATTAACGCCTGTTATTTCTGGCAAAGCCAAAGGAATCCTGAAGTTACCCTCAAAGAGGTTGTACTTGCATTTAATATGGTCAGTTTGGGTCTGCTGGACTTCTCCTGGCGCGAACGAGCGCGTGTAGATTTCTTATGTTTCTTTGAAGACTTTCCTTCTTGTTTTCCACTTCCTATTGCTCCTTCAAAGCTGTCACTCATCTCTTTACCCGAAGCAACATCTGGACTCATGTAGCTTCGTAAGAGGAAAAAAAGAAAAAACAAAGTAAAAACCAAAATAAAACCACTGCCACACACGATGGAGTTATGCATAGCTAAGATACACAACAACAGAGACTGCAAAAAAAAAGAAAATAAAGTCCAGATCTGCACTCTGCCAATACCACAGGGAAATATATCACTTAATATACCACCACATCGCCCCAGCCCCTTCACTTGAGGGACCCTTACAGTTCATCTCTGCACTGCACAAGTTCCTGTCTTTCCAAGGGCCAGCTCTCCCCGCTCCTGCCCCTCTGCACTCACAGCAGAAGGTCTGAACGGGCAGATCACGCTTGTCGGAGATGAAGGAAGAGAGTGAGGAGTCGGTACAGCATCCCCGAACAGACTGCCTGCCTCTCCTCTCTCTGTAGTTCTCAAGGGTCAGAAAGAAGGTTTTATCCCACAATATCCCAGATGACCACCTAGCAACAGTATATTATTTTTAGCAGCCAAAACAGTAGCTGCTAACAACCTTATTGTAATAGTGCATGTACGGAAAATGTCAACATGCAAGTAATTTGCAGGAAATTTTCAGAGGTTCATAAAAACCATGTCAGGAAGGAACCTTGTAAGGCCATCTGGCCTGTTTATTACCCCAAGGTATGATCAGCTCCATCTAAACCAGTCCTCACAGAGGTTTGTGTAAATTGGTCTTACAAACCTCCGTGAGATTTCATAACCTTCCTGGACAATTTATCCCTGTGTTCGTTTAGCCATACAGACATTAAAAAAAAAATAAATAAGTCTAACGTACGGATGCCTTTCTTAAATTTAAGGCTTTTACTTCTTGATCTGCACTAGTTGGACAGAACAGCTGATTTCAACTCCCTTTGCAGCTACCTTGTACGTGTGACTCATGCCTTAGGAAAGCGAAGAGATTTTGCGCATAGGATAGACTGTAGATCGTATCCTTGTGGCAACTGCCAGCCATTTAATTCACGTGCCATTACCCTCCACTCTACAGAAACACAACCCAGCTCCAGCGCTAAGTTACCTATAGACCTGGAAAAGAGAGACCTCCCTCCACGACTGCGAGACGCGTGCTGACACAGCCCCCGTGCTGCTGCAGCCACAACACTCAGCTTGTCAAACAATTCTGGAACGGCAAATTAGAATTCAAAAGATGACTAAAAATTTGATGTGCCTTTTGACAATAAACCAACTTATTTATAGCCAGAACTAACCTATAGTCATGAAAAATTCGATTTCACTTTCCATGCAGTATTTAAAAGCAGCAAATTCTTGGGGAAAAAAGGTTCCATTTTAAGATTGCAGGGTTGCATTGACTTGTGTCAGGCTAGCTTTTTTGGTGGGGTAGAATAAAAAGGGTAAGAGAGAGGTGTCTTCAAAGTTCATAAACTTAACTCAACTTGTCTATTCAGGAAAATAGAAAAGGCTCACTAAAATCCTACCCCCAAAGCTTTATAGTCAATAAGGACAAAGTTGGTGCTGGCTCCTGCAGTCGGCAAGGTGCTCAGCTGGTCGCGAACTCACACTGCTCGTATCTACCTTATCCATATCCAAACACTGAAAAATCTGCCTTGCTGCTGGTGCCGAAGCAGGAGCTGTCGCAGGAGAGCAGCAGGTCCCTGGGGAGGGGGGTCCTGCCGCCCCCACAGCAGCCACTGCCTCCATTGGGGCCCTCTCCAGTCCAGCAGCGAGCCTTCCTCCCCCGGGCTCGTCCTCACTGCTTCCTCCAGACCTTCCCACTTCCCCTTCTGAGTACAGAGACGGGCAGATGAGGGCTGGCAGAAATCGAACCATGCTACGACTGTGATTCTACGAAGTTTGCTTTTGTTTCTGGGGAGTGCTGAGCTGGCTCTGGGGGTTATTTACCATTACTTCTATCATTAGCATTGCTAGGCTCGAGCGTGACCTCGCGTACTGCAAAACCACAGAACGGGCTTTGGCTGCCTGTTCTAACATTGCTCTAACGGTGCCTTTGAGTGGCTCAGCACACAACTCTCACCGATACACCGTTCCCCATAACGTACCTGGGGAAAGATCATTACAGAGGTGACACAGGCATACCCAGTTTGTTCCCAAAGAGGGAATAAACTGCATCCCAATTACACCAGCCCAGCACATTTTTATGCAGATTCAACAGCATCAAAACCAGGGGCTGTACCACTTCAGTTATCTTCACAAAAAGAGAAATGAAAGCTAGGATGCAGCACCCAAACTAAAGAATTAAAAGAGCTGGAGGAGCCCAAACGGGCCCACCGCACGCAGAACGTGGGCAGCTTTCTCCCTCCCATCTCCTCCTGGCCAGCTCCTGCTGCTCCTCTCGCGGCCGAGGCAAAGACCAGGCGTTCGGTCCGGCCG